GGAACGTTCATTTATCCTTTACGCCAGAGGAAATTCATCAAGCCTTGGAAACTACAACCAACTATACGATCCACGCAGTCCACGGTATCCCGTCAAAGAAACCAGTGGCCCGGCATGGCCAGGTGGATAAGGCGCTCGACTCACAATCTGAGGGTCGCGGGTTCGAATCCGCATACCACCAAACATGCTCGCCCTTTCAGCCGCGAGAGCGTTATAATGTGACGGTCAATCCCACTATTCGTTGGTAAAAGAGTAGCCCAAGAGTTGGCGGTGGGTGGTGATGACTAGCTGCCTTCCCTCTAGTCTTACACTGCTAAATTAGGGACGGCTAGCACGGATAGCCCTCGTGTAGCTTTGCGCGAAATTCAAAAACAAACAAAGAAAACAGGTTCACCCTCCACGTTCATGAAAGTTGTCACAACTTCCAAAACAATAGCAGATTTCATCCTCACCCACAGCTGCTACCTTGATTATCATCACTTTAAGGCAGAAAAACCTTACCGTAAACCTCACCCACCCCATACCTTTCCTAACCCGCCCCCCAAGCCCATGTTTCTCAACACCCTAAAGAAAACCACCGCCAACCAGTACTGTACCGTCCATCCTATTACAATAGACCAAGCTACTTAAACCTCACCCACCCCTGAATCACAAGACATGTCAACCCAGACCACCACTACTGGGAGAAAAAAAGGCACCCAGACCCAGCCGCAAATCTTCACAATTACCAACGACGCCTATCACAAAACCAACAACCTGCCTCCCAGCAAACAATTATTTATAAACATAACGAAGTGTTTTTATTTCTTTTGGGGGGGCATCCTACATGTTTGGACAGAACATTGGTCTGTCTTCTTCAGGATCAATATTTTGTTTAATTAATTAAACATGTAAATTCCCCCCCCAAAAAAACAACAACAAACAAACAAACTGACCACTTCATTGTGCTTGTAAATCGTTGTCTGTCAATTTACTGTAAATTCTTAGTATTATTTAACAGTTATTGCACAGTGGTTATGGTTGCTTTTCGTAACCTTAGAAAGAAGGTTCTAAATCACTTATGTTATGTACTTAAAGTTTAAACTTTCTTTATTTTACTTTTAATAGCTTCGAATTGTAACTGCTATTTGTTATTGTCTTTAAAAAGATGAGCTTCCAGTGAAAGGGGGGGGGGAATAGCGCCTAATATACAACATTAATAAATATCTTCTGCTCAACCTGCGATATCTTATTAGCGAAAACCACAACTGATTCAATACATTGTAAGATATACTAACCAGGGTAGCGCAAAAAACGAAAAGTTACGAAGTTTATTATTTATGGTTAACATGTTTAAACATGTTACCAAGGCCACATCTCCCGTACACGTGATCCAGAACTGCTCAGTCTGCCCCAAACTGCAATTTTCATTGAAACAAGCCTCTCTAAAGAATTCTGAGGACCCTCGACGGTGTCAATATTGAAACAAAGATTTTGACAAACGTTTCACAAATTCTCCATTGTAAGCGGACTTTGACTTCCAAGACCATGTTTAAGCAGACCAAAAGTGCCGCAACGGGTAACTTGGGTGTGGTTTCAGAGTCGGTTGCTGTCTTAAGCTAAGCATTTCTTGTGCGAGGTTTTCAATTTCTACGGAGAACACTGAAGGACTTCTTTTGTGGAAACGTTGTATTCTTTCGCTTTACATCATTTAATATTTTCACTGTATGAACATTTGTTTTCAGATATATTTTCACCACCAGCCATACTACTGTTACGCCTCTGTGTTTGTTTGTTAATTTCCCGTATATAAATTCTTCCCGAGAAACTTCAGAGATACAAGTCCTTTCTTAAATAAAACTAGTTTATTCTTTCTCAATTCAACTTTGTAATACACTTAATTTCCACGGTCACTTTAAACACACGCTATAATTCACAATGATTCACGCACTTACTTACGGTCGCTACCGCGCTTGACTCAATTGTCCGTCTTTATCTCTGCCTGTCTGCAATTCAATTCCGATTAACTAATTTCGCTTTAACTACACACTTATATACAAGAATAGAGGGCGCCTAGCACATACTGGATTATTCGTGATGTTCCCCGATCCTTCGAGAATATCATGACGTGTTACCAGAGTCACGTGACTACCGCTGTCGTAGCACTACTATACTCAACGTGCAATATCTTTGTTACACACAAACACAGACGCACCATATATAGAAATTTTGTGTTTGTCGTGGATTATTAACAGAATATATCGTTGTTCTCCCACACGCACGCCAACACGTATATGCATGTATCGACATTTTATGGTGATACTGTCAACAGATTTAGGCCTATTGGTTTCTAAAAAAAAACGTTTAAACCGAAACTATTGAGTAAACAACGTGTGTGTTACCATAGCGGAGTACTGCTACAATGACTGTGACGTTGCTGTACTGAAAGTATCATGTTACAGATTACCCTTCCGTTCATAGAACTGGTAGATATCTATAACTTCCGTATATCACGTTGTTTACCGTAGATATATTTAGAAAGTTATCAGGTTAAACAAAGTGTATCTGTAGTACTTAAAGATGTAATGAAACAAGGAATCTACAGTTCAATGAAACTTAAGCGTGTAATTTATTTAAATTGGAAAAAACGTTCTGAAACTGTACATAATCCACGTGAAGAGGTGGGTGTGTGGGAAGAATCTCACCCGACGTATCAGATGCCCTGTACTTGTAGCCCGAAAATTCTGATGCTAACCTATGATCAATTAGACTTATTAGAGTATCGTTTGATACGCATTTAACCGAATCGCAACTTTTACGTGCAAATTACTCAACAAAAAATAACAAAATACTGGTAACACTTGAATAAGAAGGCGTCGTGACGTCATCATTATTTTAACAACACGATCCAAGCGAAGATTTTATGTACGAAACGTTTATTGTTTTGCATCATAGTATGACTACACATCGATATATCACATCTAACTACATTTGCAGACTCGGTTTTATACAAAATACATTTTTAAACTGGTATAAATACTGACATTTCTCACCACATAACTTACTCAATAGTCATAACTGTATGTAATTATTTGTTTACACAATGAGTATGATTTTCTTCAAAATAGCAATTTCGTGAAAAAACTGAATTCCTAAAGTACAAGAATTGGACAAATTTCAAACTTCCTTCAACATCTACATTTTGTATGAAAATAGTATAAACACCAGAAGTAAGTTATATAGAATTACCTTTTGACAGGCACTGTGTCGTTTTTTTTTACGTTTAGAACAAACTATTATACAAATCCACACACACTTGTCAAAATCAAAAATATCTAAAGTACAGCCATAATTACATTAATAACAATCTTTTTTAATATTACCATAGTAACATTCCCTTTTTAACAGCTACCGTAACAACGGTAATTTTCTACAGACGATAGTCAAACAAATAAAGCATTGTGTATCTATTGTTATACTTTGTTCTTCATTCAACTAATTCCCGTACTAAAAATTGTTTTCTTCATGTGTATTCTGTAAATTTCTAAAAAAGTATAAATTTCAAAATCATTTTTAAGATGTATTGTTTTTGAACCATGTTTGAATGGTAAAAACAATGCGTTTCAAATTGAATTTTGCCATTAATACCACAAGTCACTATACTTTCCTAAATCACGAAATTTGATTTTCTTCAAGACATTTGTAAACTAAAACGTATACTGGAAATAACTGTAAACCACGAATAATTGTGAAAATAGGTTTTTCCCAAAAACAACACTTGATAACCAAATTAAACAGTATTAAGCGTGAGGCCCAAGCAACTGAGTAAACAAATTAAACAGTATTAAGCGCGAGGCCTACGCAGCAGAGTAATAAATTAAACAGTCCATTAAGAATATACACAACAACAGGGTTTCTTAAGAGAACTTATGCCCGTTTTCTCTCTCTCTCGTTTTAATTAACTACTAAGGTTCGAATTAGTACTCAACTGCTATTTTAAAGAATTATACGTCATATATTTTGTTACACTTCTGTGAAAGATAAAAATGTAAAACCATTTTAATTTTAAATGTTATTTTTTTTTACTCAGTGAAAGGCCACGTAGAAGCGCGAAGTCCTAAGTACTTGAATGCTGGAACTGCAAAATAAAGCCATTAGATTATTTTTTTTAATCTGAAATTCATTAACATTATACAGAAAAATTCATTATCAGTTATATAACTACAGTGATGTTTGGTTAGTGAACGGACAACGCAAAAACAATTCAGACCATAACATAATTCCAACGAAAACCCTCACGACCAAACTTCCCTTCCAAGAACCTGTCAGGGTTCATATTGTTCTGGGAAGAGGTAAAGCTCAAAATGATGACGTGTGAATATCTCTTCCCTTCTGGTTACTGACTCATCCGACATCCACAACAAAACAAAACTGCTTTTGTTAAGATATCAGTTTCGAGTGACGTTTTTAATTATTAAATTTGTAAGTCAAAAACATTTACTTTTTTTCCAGTTCAGATTTAGAGCTAAAAATAGAGTGAATAAAACACTAGGTAATGAAAATATAATAATTAACGTATTAACACTGAAAATAAAAAATATAGTTCGGTCTTTTCATATCGGACTTTTAACTTTTATAATATATTTCAAGAAGTAAACTGTATTAATGTTTTAAATTTAATATAATCACTAAATTACTATATAAATTCGAGTGTGAAACTTTAAAATATATTAAAATTTTTCGGAAATTATTGAAAATTTATATTGATATTTTCGATAAGTATCTCCAAAATTATATTGTAATATCAGCTAGGTGGCTTGTTTTCAATGTTTCAGTAAAGTAATGCACGTTTTAGTAAACAAAATAGAACTATCAAACATCTTGGGAAAAGCGATTGTGCTCCCATCTAGTGATGTTTACTATCACCTTGAGTTGTTCAAGATAGTGATGATAATTAATGCTTATATTACAACTTATATTACAAACTGGTCGTTTAATTTTTAAAAAGTCAAGGAAGACTTTAAGTTCATTGAATAAAAAATTATTTATATGAAAACTAGTTTCGCATAATTGTACTTAAACTAGCAAGTCGCAAATGAAAGGCGTATTTATAATCCATGAAACCCGATCACCTGAGCGTTTCCAAAAGATGGTATTTCCTCCATCCCTGAAAAAGAAAGATCATACAAAAGAGATCGGCTTTTCGGGTTTCTTAAATTGTGATATTATATACTTGTTTTATTCTGCGTTATATTTACTATTTTAATCGGTATTCACAATGTAATCATGTTTAAACACTATGGACTTAAGGGCAGCCATTCGGAAAAGTTAATTTATCAGTAGCTTTTAGAATCTTTTACAACATGGGCAAGATGAACACTGGTTGATATATGTCACAGTTTTCATGTTTAGTCGTTTAAAAATGAATAATCGGGAAAAAATTTTCTTCTAAATACCCAATCACGGTAATCGTCAAAGTTACACTGGAGTTGAGAACAAACCATCATTTATACTAAATACAACATTTCCTCCATACGCCTGATCTGGTAATTCCTTAATTCAGGCGATTACTATTGTGTAAACGAGAACAAAGTAAGTATCAACATATCCACCAAAATGCCGAACGCTGATTTACTACAATATGAGCTCATGGAAATCAGCATGCCCATTTCCTAGTTGAGAAAATTTTCCACTGATGGGCACCAAAATTTGGAGCTTTACAGACTGTTTATTTCTGTGGAAAAGTGTTTTTTTTTACTTTTCCACAAAAATGTTATTTTTTTTTACTCTTGGCAATTCTCTGTAGTGTGTCACTAAAATACAATTATGAGTCAGTAGTAAACCATGCGCTCTTTGAACGCTTCAATTTGAGGCTAAAAGACTAAACTTTAAGCTAATAAAACTTAGAAAGACACTTCAACTCCTGTTCAACTGTAAAACAATGCTAGTACTTTAAAACTCGTAGCTTGAACGTTTCTATCAGTTTCATTGTGCACCATTTAAAACAATACTGTACAAACAGTTGATAGAATCTGGATTAAAAAAAAATCCAAATCGAAGGAGCACATCAAATTTGATTCCATGAAAACACGAGTAAAACTGTATGTGTACTTTATTAACCCTAGTAATGTTAAAACTTGGTTTCGTTTAATTTTGTTTTCATATTGTATCTAAGGATTTATTACAATACGAATGACAATGTCTTTCAATTTTGCATACAATGCACTCAGGCTATAACACAAATGACATATATTCAGGGATTATAAAACACGAATTATAGTAAAACCTATACACGGGTATTTTACATCAGTAGTATAATTATAAGAATGTTTGCACTAAGTAATGTGTCAAACGTATAAATTATATATAAACGAGGTTAGTAAATGATTTACTTTAAAAATATATATTTCGTGCTCATTCGTCGTATCAATTCTCACAACCATCACATAATTAGAATCAGCAGTTCGAAATTATCATTAGGATATAAAGTACTATGTAAACATTAATTCAGTATTTCAATCTTGTTAAACTGTCAGCTTTTAGTTGTAAGGTATTTTATGCATATCTTTAACAGTTGTGAAGAACGAACCTTATATTTAGTCTTGTTATAATTGTTCATGAGCAACGCAAAAGATGAAATAAAGCCAACTGTGTAACCTGAGCTTTACTGAAACTACATACTTCCGAAGTTATACATGTGCTAAGATTTGCACTTCTCCTTGGTTGCCACTAGATGGCGAAACCGGTGATCTAAGACTCTGTCCATTCACAGAAACAATCACAGCATCTTGGTTAAGCACTTGAGAAGAGTCAGTAGTTTGCACGATGGTAACCCTGTTGATATCCACGTTCTTTCGCACACTCTGCTCACCGCAGTCCCACATAGTTCGAATTGTGTCGTGCTGAGATTCAGTTTGCGACACAGGACTTTCGTCCAGTTCATAGTTTCTACTCTCACCACAAGGTGTCCGTAGTTCCGCAACTTGGTTTGACTGAGATTGTTCTATTGGGCGGGAGTGATTCGAGTCCACAAACAGAGATTCGTGAGAGAGAAAGCTTAGAGTTAGTGATGGGTTACGGCTATGACTAGCGTTAGCTCGAGTCGCACTATTTTCATGAGCTCGATGAGATTCTAAAGTGTCCGAACTTGCTCGGAGCGCCACCCCTGAACTAGCTCGCGACCTATAACTAGGAGGGCGACTATGATCTCGTTCTACCATATTGAGGGGTGGCCTAGAACAAAGAAACATAGATTTAATAAATATTTTATTTAATATTACCTGGATTAATACTTTTACAAATTTGATATTTATTTTACTTAGAAAGCGTATGATAATTTCTAGCAGGATATCTAAAACCACCTGTCTTTTTATCTATCAAATGAAATGCGTGCTTTGGAACCTAGTGTGTCATTACTATGGTAACTAGGGTTTCTTGCAAAACACGGTTAAATTAATTATTTTCCAACACAATTCACTGTTAGTTATCTAATTAGGTCACTAAGAGAAAAAAAAACATCTTGGAGAACATAAAACACCAAGTTGAAAAAATATACGAGTTAAGGATTGAAGTTTGAATTCTGTAAATAAATGAACTATTTCCAAAGAATATTTCTTACATAAGGTACATTGTACTAGCGTTTTTGTAATTTAAAAAAATTGAAATGTTGGATCAAAATTTAACCATTGCCACTTTTTTATTTATCTAGTTTGTTTTTTCCTAAGGTAAACATAAAAAGGAATAAAGTGAAACACTGGTCGGTTGGTGTTTATCCAAAATACATCTTAAGTAAATGTCTGAATATGAAGAAATAAAAAATATAGCTGCAAGAAAAAGGTTACCTTTGTAAAGTGCTACTTGAGTGTGAACGATACGTAGGAGGCGGGGAAACTAGTGACGATGCTGCCCCCTGTTGACGATCTAGAAGAAGCAACCTTAAGCGATATTCCTGCATGGAAGCTTGATACGAAGGAGGCGGGGGGCGGTGTTGAAATTCAGGATACATCATAGCTACAAGATTAAGAAGACGTCCTGATTGATCATACTAATTCTAAAGATAACAACTACATGCGTGTTAATCTTAAAAAATAAAATCTAATAAAAAGAAAAAAAAATCGAAAATGCTATCAATCTTTCTTATTACATTCTAAATATCCATTTAAAAAGTAATACTTTCGGGAATTTAACAAGAAAAACAAAAGGAGTAATTACAAAATACATTATATTCAATCCTTTCATAGCAGAAAAAATAAAATAACAGAACAAGCTTAAGGCGTAGTAATATATTAGGAAATCTTAAATTAAACCTTGAAAATGTGCCAACCCATATGGGAGTATGTTCATGACATTGGCCCTATACTACTGTTTCTTGAGTAGTTTTCAAAATATTTCATTGCCAGTGACTCTCAAGAAACACCCAATTCAAAGTTAACCTCAACGTATATCAGATAAATGAAAAAAAAAAAAAACACACAATGAAAATTAAAGCAGTCTTTATAAAACATAATTAAAGAAAAGGAGGTACAAGAGATTTAACAATGACAGAGGTACTTAAAATGTGGCGCATTTGAAAACAAAAAGTTACCTCTATTGTGCACTGAAAGTAAATTACCACATCCAATATTCTTATTTTACCACACACGAAGAAAATCAAAGAACTTGGCTATAACCATTACCTTTTGCTAAAAAACATGACGCGTTGGAACAAAGGGTGTAACCATAGAAAGATACCATTTAACATATATATATATATATATACCCTTAAAGATGTAATATAATAGTAGGTAAGTTAAACAGAAAAAATATAGGGAGAACTTGTACCCCCTTTTATATTTATGTTGCTGCTTTGTTTTCGTGGTTTGTGTCCCGTTACCCCCCCCCCTCCTCAAATCGCGCTCATTAGGACCGTAGGTACGTTATAAGAGTGACAGTCAAATCCCACCGGACAAGAGAAGCACGATAATTAGCAAAACTGACTGCCTTTCCTATAGTCTATTACCTCAAAAATATGGCCGTCTTGCTCAAATAGTCCTCGCGTAGTTTCACGTGAAATCCAACAAACAAGCAAACATGTTACACGTACAAAAAAAAGGAACATTAGAATAAAGGGGTCAGCCAGACATTATTCAAAAAAAAAGAGAAAATCCTTTAAGAAGATAATGTAATAGTAGGTAAGTTAAACAATATAAAAAATGAAGAGTACATGTCTCCCCCTTTCTTATATCTATGTTGCTGCTTGTTTCAATTTCATGCAAACTAATACTTTTGTCCAATTATGTATGAGTCTTAAAATACATAGGGGAAAAAAATAAAATTTTAACGGAAAGTAGGGATCGTTGGTTATTCGTAGAATTGCTATAAGAAGTATTCAAAACAAACTATATCCTACAATAAAAAGTACAAAAAGTAAAGTGATACGTTTGGGATAGATTTTAAAAAGATTTTTAATTCCTACTTTGGTTGGCATTGTGATACGTATAGCTAAATGAAGCAGTATAAATTTGCCAACCAAAGTAGGGATTGAAAATCGTTTTAAAATCTATCCAAGTAGTATCACTTTGCTTTTTTGTGTTTTCTATTCATTTGTTCAGTTTGTGTATGTTCGTGGAATGGACACAACATCTATAAACTTTCAGTATAACCATATCTCAGATAGCTATAACTTTTACAAAAATTGAAACCACGATCACAAATGTATAAAATGTAATCTTTACTTTGGCCTACAGATAAGTGTTTAAAGCCACTGGAGTAGGGATTAAATTTGTGATTTGTGGTTTTAATTCTTGTTTCATTACTTGTTGTAGCAGGATCCCTACTTCATTTGAAAATTCTTAATTTTTCAATACTCTTGTTTGTTTACGTTTTATATTATACCAGTACAGGGTATATACTTTACCTTTAGACACTGTAGCTTAATGATATTTAAGTACGTGCATGATATCTTTACTACTTATATTATATCTGTGTGTTTATGGATTTTTATCGGAATATCAAAAGCTGATACCCAAAGACTAGTCAAGTAAGCTGGGGAAATCATGTAGCGAAAGTCCCAGCCGTCTAGAGGCTAGCCCCGCTGATGTGATCATGTAGGTAGATTGGTAGTAGATGAAAAAAGTTACTGTTTTAGAAAATTTTGAATTGTTATATTGGAAATGTATTATTAGTATATTAGTATATATGCGCATAATATATCGGAACCAATACTTTGAGTGGTTGGTTTTTCGCTTAAGAATTCAACAGGGTGGTTTTTCGGCTCGTGAATTATCTGGAGACCTTGTAGATCCATACTATTAAGTACTTAATAATTAGGTAAACTGCAATGATTAAAGCCTAAATGGGACAGTGGTAAGTCTTCGGATTTACAATGCTAAAATCAGGGGTTTGGTTCCCCTCTGCGGACACAGCAGATAGCCCAGTGTGTATTTGCTCTAAGAAAACACATGCATTTGATACTGGAAAAGAGCAAGGAGAAAAATGACAAAAACAGAATAAATTTTTTATTACTCTTTGAATAATTATTATTCTTAAATTGCAGAGGTTGAGTACGTTATATTAAAACGATTTTTGCGCCTCACCACATCGTTACAGTTCATGTCGCGACCTCCACTCTATTTGACGACTGTGTATCTTAACAACAGCCCTGCAGCATATTTTTCATTGTAAAAGGCTCCTTCGTCAATCTGTCATGTCCAAGACACACCACCCCTCCCTTTATTTTCCAATGCTATTAAATAGAAGGGATATTGGAAATTCTAACTCCCCAATCTGAACACATCTTTATGATCTGAGTGTACGAATATTTTAAGTCAGAAAAGGCTGTTATATACCCTTCCCAAAAGCAATCAATTTTAGGTGGCATCACATTACCTACGGATCACCAATGTCAAAATGTAGTTCTCATAACTTCCGTTCCATTGTGCCCCCCAGTGGCACAGCGGTATGTCTGCGGACTTACAACGCTAGAATCCGGGTTTCGATACCCGTGGTGGGCAGAACACAGATAGCCCATTGTGTAGCTTTGTGCTTAATTACAAACAAACAAACGTTTCATTGTAACTTTATATCTGTTGTGGTTGTCATGTGACTTGCAGATTTGTATATTCAAAGGTGTTATAATATACTGTACTAAACCTCTGAATAACAGATATATACAATAGATTTTAATATGGTATATTATGTTATAATTAATCGAAAATAAGATTCCTCCCAAAGAGGGATTCAAATCCCAGCTCACAGTTTCTTTAAAAGTTTCTGCTTGCCTATAGGCTCTTAAGTCACCAGATGTAGCCCTGTACCTGTAAAGAGTAATTCACCACTAAAATTATCCAACAACTTTCAAACCCTACTTCAGATTAATATATACAAACGTAAGTTAGTTTCGTCCCCAGCCTCCCCTGTTTATTATATGTTTTGCCCCTTCAACAAAGAGAAGTGCAATAAGTTTACAATTTTTTGAATGCTAATTTATCCTCATCTAAATTTAATATGAAATGGCTGTTTTTCATGTTATGTAAGATTATTTAGATCTGTTTAGAAACATAAGAATAATATCATTCCAACATTTAGAACAGGTGTGATAATACCACAGGTTTGGCCACTAGTTCAGTCCTGTATATATATATAGTTACAATGGAGTTACTCCGCCTTCTAACTTAGCTGGAGTCACTACCTATCATGTCTCTCATTCACCAAAGGATGCAGCTGTAAGTACTGAATCAAATATTGAATGAAATTTGTTTGTTTGAAGCTAAGCACAAAGCTACACAATGGGCTATCTGTGCTCTGCCCACCACGGGTATCAAAACCTGGTTTCTAGCGTTGTAAGTCCGTAGACATAACGCTGTGCCACTGAATGAAGTAATAACACAGAAGTTAGTATTGAATCAAGTTATAACGCAATTGTAAATGTTGGTTCAACCAGCGCAGCAGTGTTGTGAAGAGCTTATGTCTAATAATATGATCCCATCTTTACTTCCGTCGATAATTAACTGTTTGGAGACTGAAAATATGTCACGACAATAAAAACACTGGTTCGCTCACGAAAAAGTATTCTATATAAAATATGAAACATTTATTCACGAGTGAAAGTACTGACGTATAACAACCACCAAGTTGGAGTTCAACAGAACTACAGAGAAATCTCGCAATAACTCTTCTGGTTAGAGAGGATTCTAAGGTTACACCTCCACCACGTGACTGGAATTAATTAAACAACAAATGGAAAGGTGTTTATTCTGTGGAATTTGTTTTTCGTTCAAGAAAATTAATGGAAACGTAAATAATATAATAATAGCTTGCTGAATTTAACATTTAGAATAACAATTAAATACCCAAAATAAATATGTAAGATTCAATTTCCATATGACAACTTCTGAATAATTACACATGATAACACAAACTATACGTTTGAGAGGCTGTACGTCAATGAAAACAAGCTATTAAAGATAATTTTTTTTTTATGTTCGCTTGACCATAAATAATAAGTGTTGAATGTAACAGAAGTAACTTAAATTATGAAGCATAAAATAAGTTAGTTAGCTTAAAGAAGAATAAAACATTATTACCACTTACCTCCATACGGATGGTGCGGACGTCCGTAAGGGGGCACTCGAGGCACGAACCTTCTGTTGGGTTCTGGGTTGTCTGACTGTAAGCCTAGCATTGCTCTGCAAGATGGAGCATCATGAGACGTCAGTTTCCAGGCAATTCCGCTAACGGTGATCAGCACAATTCCGACACCTGGTGTTAATAAATTGAATGAGATTTTTAACCACTACTGTACTAAATAACATATTATCACAGTAATATGGATTCATAAAATTAATAATTTACCGTTGAAAAAACTTTTGAAGCTTTAAAATTGTCCATTTCAAAGAAATATTCCATTCATTGGCTTCTGTTGTCGTTCATTTATTTACTACATTAGCACCGTTGAATTATACATATACATATATATAAATCTTTACGGATGGACACGTGGCGTTATAAATCTAGAGAAATGCAAGTTTAGAAACAAGTGACATTGTTACAGTGTTAGATGGCCATGCTGTTACACACAGTTACGATCTTGAATCTCATAATGAGTTAATTAAGATGGTGATAGGGAAGTGCCTTTTGGCGAACACGATGTATCGTTACATTTTGGAGCACGTCTGCTTCTTTGGGACGAACATTTGTAACAAAAACGATCTTTTAGTCTTACATAAGAAGTACGTTTCATATAACCGGGTTAGCTCACTTTTAGACAGCACGTGAACCAGTTTTCTGAATAGGGTACAAACAATTTCAAAAATACCATTAAGTAGATATATCGCCTCAAATTTGGTGGGGCAATTCTCGACTTTGTCTGTCGCAGCTGCCGTGAGAAATTAACATTGTTTAAGCTTAAAGATTCTTCCCAAAATAAAAGGCATACCTGATGTTTAGGGTACTCGACTCGCAACATCCGGGTCGTCGGGTCGAATCCCATCATCGAACATACTCGCCCTTTAGCTGTGGGGGCGTTATAACATTATGGTCA